AATTATAATATATATATATATATATATGTGTGTATATATATATATATATACATTAATACTCACATATATAATGTAATATATTAAAAAAAATAACTTTTAATAAAATAAAATTTGTAGTATGCATGTTTACATTTTGTGTTTTATATTTATTGTATACGATGATTAAAAGAATCAAAATAGTAAAATTGTATATGTTGATTAAAAAAATCAAAATAAGAAAAATTGAAAGATTTATATTTCATTTAGAATTGTTATTATAAAATACTAAAGAGGCTGAGACACTTCGTGCCTCTAACAGTTACACGAACGGTTACAATTTTTTTTTTATATTTATATTTTCTCCATTTTATCTTTTATTTGTAGGGAGTTATTGGCTTATTGCATAATCGAAGGACAAAAAAATCTTTAAAAAATGGAGACGAAAGTGGTTATTTAAAAACATATTCCCTTTATTAATAGTTATAGATATTTTAAAATAAATTATCATCTAAAAATATATATTATATATTAAAAATATATTTATATCATAAATAAATTAAACTTAATTTTTATAAAATTTAACATATTTATTTTTATATTTTTAATAGCATTAAATTATTATAAAGTAGGTCTTTAAGATTGTACCTTTAAAAAATGTCAGATAGATAATTAAGTCATACTTAAGATATATTTTTAAATAAAGTTAGGTTCAAACCTACTAAATTATAATAAAATTTAATCTGACCTAATTTATTTTCATCTTTAATTATAATCCTAGATATAAAAACTTGTAAAAAATAATTATGATATATATTTATGTCTATAAAAGTTATACATAAAATTTTTAATACTACAAATATATAAATAAGTATTGTCACCACTATCTAAAATTTCTGGATCCGTCACTGTTGAGAACCAAAAGAATCTTAGCGAAAAAGGTCTATTTCTACAACATAGTAAAATTAGATAATTTAGAGATCAAAATAGGAATGAATATTGTATATTTAAATAAAAGGAAGAAGAAATATTGAGAATTGCATTTGATAGAGAGATGACAGAACAAAGTTTAGGTCTAAATGGATAATGTAAGAGGTGAATTTTGTAGAGTGTGTAGTTTCTTTCTTTATTGAAATATGAATGTAGTTATTAGGAGTAGAAATTGAAAATTTAATATTAATTAATATCATTTATTTAGAAATAATTTAAAACAATTAATTGATAAGCTTCAAAATTGAAATATAGAGGTGGATTTTGTAGTGTTCAAGATGATGTGGTTTTATAATAGAGAAAGTTAATGTTGTTGTGCTTTGAAAGTAGCAAATGTTCATAATTATGTGTCGATTTCATAGCTTGTTCTTCGACTTTTATATTATGAATAAATAGATAGATTGTCTAGATATGGAATACAAAAGGCATATAGTATACTACACAATAAAATGAATACAAGTGAATGAATTTGAGTAAATTTTACATACTCTTCCTCCCTCTCTCGTGTCCATTGTGCAAGAGTGTGTGATAACAATTGACATTTAGCTTGAGGGCCTAGTGATAGTATAAGTGAAAAATATATACATATTTTGAGTGTGGGGAACAAGAGGATTTTCACTTTGTCAAAAAAATATAGATTTGTTATATTTTTGTCTTCTAAGAAAGAGATGACCACCAATTACAATATTATTTGGTTTAATCCCAAATTGGATGGGAAGTTAGATTTTAGCTATTAGAAAACTTTTATGGCTACACATTTGAAAGCTCACAACATTTGGAGCTTTATTGAACTAAGATTAGTAGAAAGAGTTGATGATACCATTAGAAGGAGAGACCAATTGGCATGATAATATTGTTAGAAGGAGGGACCAATTGGCACTATCATAGATTCACCAAGGAGTAGATTATTCTATATTTATTTTTTTTTTTGCAAAATTTCATATGTCAAAATTGTCAAAGAAATGTGGAATATTTTTAAAGCTATCATATAGAGGAGTAGAGAAGACTAAAAAATCCAAGCTACAATCTCTTCAAAGGTAGTACAAAAGATATGAAATGTTCAATTTCAAATCTATGGAACAATATTTTTCACGTGTTATAGATCTCGTCAATAAAATAAGAGTGTATGAAGATATTCTTGATAATAAAGTGGTAGCGAAAATTCTTCAAACGATATCAATGAAATTTGATCGTGTGGTGACTACAATAATTGAGTCCCACGACACAAACACTTAATTGTAGCAGAGTTACATGGAAGCATCAAAAGTCACATCAGCAAAATCTTGGAGAAGACAAAAAAAGAAAATGAAAAAGCATTAAAAAAGAAAATGAATCTCAACAATGTAATTGAAACCAACCAAGATACAAAAAGTGAAAGTCATGTTAATTACAATAATGGAGGAAGAGAAAGTTGTAGAGAAAAAGGTCAAGGAAACTACAAAGACAAAGGACTTGGAAATTTCAATCGAGGATGAGTTAATAGTTTTGAATCCTTCAACCAAGAAAGAGGAGGAAATGTTTTTAATGTTATTAATTGAGGAAGAGGATGTGGTAATAATTACCAACAAAGAATAAATTTTAATTGCTTTTACTATGGAATGTTTGTGCATAAAGAGTAAATTATTGATTTCAATGATAGGCAAACTCATACAAAGTCATAAAAATATTGTTAAGAATTGTTATAAGCCACAAGGTTTATTTTTGGCAAGCAATACATTTTTCGAAGATGAAAATATTTGATATTTGAATACTAGATGTAGCAATTACATGCGTGAAAAAAAGTAATTATTTTTATCTCTAGGTGAAATAGTAGAATCAACTGTAAAATTTAAAAACAGTATAAACATTTCTATTTTGGAAAAAGGCCAAATTGTTACCAAATTGAAATATGGTTCACAAAATTTTATCTTGATATTTTTCATATTCCTAATCTTCACAATTTGTTGAGTATGAGATAATTATTAGAGAAAAGTTACATGTAAATTTTTTATGGATATTGTCCATCGATAGACAAAAATGAAAATTTTATAACTAAAGTAAAGATGACTCTCAATCACACCTATTTCCTTTGAAAATTTATCATTTCTCTAGCTTTATTTTTGTTGTTTTCGATGATAATTGGTTATGGTATATGCACTTTGTCCACTTTCACTTTTCTAAATAAAATTATCTGTCATATGTTCTTAACTTGCCTGATGTGAATATTCACAAAGTGTGCGTTTCTGCAACACCCACCTTGTTCACTGACTTATAATATAGTTCCCCTTGTACCGTGAATTAATGTATTGTCTAGAAGGTATATGGGAAACAGAAAATATTGTAGATAGCCAAAAATAACCATTTTAATAGCAAAATAGTTAGAATTGAGATATCCAAATTCGAGAGAAATTATAAAGTACTATTAAAATATATAGGAACAAGATGAAACCAATAAACATCAAAAAGCAATTAAGACAAACAAAACTGCATCACAATGGCATTGTCGACAAAGTTAACTATTGTTCTAGAATGAGTTCAAACAAAGCACGATTAACATGAGAACTCTAATAGAATTTGTGATTTACTATAACCACTCAAACCTAATTGATCTCCAAAAGATGTAAATCATTTTGTTGTCCAAATTCAACCCTTCAAGGCCTGTTTTTCCTTAGACTTCTGGATCTTCAAGACCTTCTTCACAATCTTCTGCTCTTCAACTAAGAAAGCTCGAATAATCCTATAGAACCAGAGACAAATATAAGCAAGTTACCCGCTAACTCACATCAAACAATTAAATTCATGCGTTATATCAAATATATAGTTGTTAAAGTTAACCTTTCCCTGACGGCACTTCCAGACAAAACCCCACCATATGCACGGTTCACAGTCCTACGGTTTCTAGGTAGCCTTGACCTCTTATACTCAGCAGGCCTCAAATGTGGAATCTGCAATTGTCAACCATAAATTACAATAACAACCTTAGAAGTAGAAAAAGTCAAACAATTTTATCCAAGCACAGGAAACATACTATGCCTCAAGTACAGCAAAAACCATTGGCAAGGAAAATCACACATCATACATAAACATCTACGTCATATATCCATCGCATGCCAATGAATCAAGCAGAGAAAAATCCAAAAATCATTACACCTAGAACCAACCAATGTAAAAATTTTCAAATCCAAATTATGAGGAAAAAAATTAAGCACAAACTATACGGTAAGGAAGTGCATGGTTCTAAATTGCACTTGCGGTTGTGGCCATTGTGATTGCTGTGATGCGGATTGGACATTCTTATATATTTGCATTGAACATAAATAAATAAATAATTCTATAACAATAAAAATCAATCAAACCTCTTTTTCTCAATTTTTCACTCCAAACTCCTTGCTCTCTTTCATAAAATGAATCATGCACCCTCCCAACACTCCAACCAACCATCATTAGTGGCATCCCTCTCTCTCTTAACATCTCATATGACCAAACTTATTAGATTAGATGATTAAAACTTGAATTTATGCATGTTTTCTTTACGATAAAAAAAAAAGTGGAATAAAATGGTTTTGCAGATCTACTGCGATTATGTTGCGATTGCTTGCAGAATTTCCAATGATTTAAAACCACACCGCAACTATGGGTCATTGCAGTTGAGGGAAGCACCACAACAGCAATATATTTACAAATTACAACCCTTAGGGAGTGTTTGTTTTAGCTCATTATCCAATGCACATTCATTGCCAATCTTTCTCTCATTGTGGATTGGCGCTAAAACAGTGTTCCAAACACACCCTAAAACTTCCATAACCCTGTCCACAAGCTTGGATGGTAAAACATATCAAACTCAATATTAACAACATGAAGCAAAAAGACGACAATAAGGCATGTCAACCTACACATTAACCAAAACACAAGCTAGTAAGTGTTAGGCAACTGGCATTAAAAGAGAAAATAAAAGGAGTCAAGTGTTTGTGAAACATGAGATTATTGTAGGTGAGAAGAAAAAAGTGGAGTTAGTGAAACAAATGGTGGTGAGGATGGTGAAACAGATGGTAGTGAGGATAATGGAACAAATGTTAGTGAATTTGAAGATAATGAGGAAGACAGAGCAAACAATAATGATGATGGGTTTCATAAAGATGAAATTTTAGTGGTTGACAAGGTTATCAAACAAAAAGTTAAAAAAAATGTGGTTGAAGATATGCAAAGTAGGGAGGACATTGTCGAGGATAGGCAACTTGCACACGATGTTGTTAGTGAGTTTTTCCCCAATAATGCTGACTTAGAACACCAACTTGTAGATGGATATGACACTAAATATTTGGACAGTGGAGACTTAGATTTAGGTGGTAAAATTGTTAGGTACCAAAGGTATAACAGTGAAGACAAGAGCAAGAATTTTCGATTTAAGCTTGGCATGGAATTTAGCAACTTGGATGAGTTTAAAGGTACAATACTTGAGCATTCAATTTTGAATGGTAGACAAGTTAGATTTCTAAAGAATGATTCGTTGAGGGTTAGAGCTTGTAGACACCCGATTTCGTCCAGGTTACCTTTACCAAAAACAAAGGGCCACTAGGACGAAAAGAGTGGCCCTCGAGGGCTTGATAAAGCACTGAGATGGACTAGGACAGCACCAAGAGGCCTAAAAGACTTGAAGCTAGGGTTTAGGGCATGGAATAATTGTTCCCACACTTGGAACGGCCATTCCCAATTCAAAATTAATATGGGAAACCCTAGTTAGGAACAACCCTACCAAAACCTTGAACGACCATTCCTAACTAAAAATTTAGCCTATAACCCTAATTTTGAATGACTTGTTCCTAAATATTTTAATGTAATTTTAAGGGTAGAATGG